GTATCAGTGACTGGCTCACCAGCAACTTCCTGGTATTAAACACCAGTAAGACGGAGACTTTGATTACTGCTCCCAGTCACCTTCACTCAATAATCAATCAGAAATTGCCTCTTTCTGCCCAGCAGCCAAATCAAAAGTAAAACATTTAGGAGTCACATTTGACTCATTAGGATTCGAGTCTCACATTAGAGATATTTCCCGTTCCTTTCATTTAAGAAACATTTCTAAAATACGACCTCTGGTCTCCAGAGTTGACCTTGAGAAAATTATTCACACTTTTGTGTCATCACGTCTGGACGGCTGTGATGTCCTTTTTACCTGCCTGGACAAGTCTTCTGCTTCACGTGTACAAGTGATACAGAACGCAGCTGCCAGACTTCTCACCAAATCCAGTAGGTCCAGTCACATCACTCTGGTTCTATATTCACTGCACTGGTTCCCAGTTGAGTCTAGAATCAGTTTTAAAGTTCTTGTGCTGACGTTCAGAGCTGTAAATGGCTCCTGTGTCTTTGATCAAACACTCTGCTGCTCGTGGCCTTCACTCCCAGTCACAGAACCTCTTGGATGTTCCACGTACGCAGCTGAAAACTAAAGAGGACAGGACCTTTCAGCCAGTGGCCCCCAGACTGTGGACCAGTTTGACCAGCAGCTTTGTTCTGCTGACTCTGTGGAGGTTTTACTCTCCCACACTTTTATGTCATGATTTTATTCTGCTTCTTATGCTCGTTTTAGTCTTTGTATAATTTAACGTCGATTTTTATTGTACATCACTTTGTAATTTTATGTCTGTGAAAAGCGCTCTATAAATAAACTTTACTTATTTCTTTAGCCACAGACTCTGGTCACTGTGCAGTTTTGATGCTGTTGGACCTAACTGCTGCCTTCGACACAGTGGACCATCAGGTCCTCCTGTCTCATCTGGAGAACTGAGGGAGCGTTCAGGGTCCTGCTCTACAGTGATTTAGATCCTGTTTAACAGAGAGAAGCTTTTGTGTTCGTATTAGAGCTGTTGAGTCCCCTGTAGTGCCTCTCACATGTGGAGTACCTCAGGGATCTATACTTACCTCCCTTCTGTTTTCCTGTTATTTAAGTCCCATGTACACAGACACGACGGGGGAAATGCAGTTTTTCAAATGTTGATTTGAGGACAAAAATCCTCGTTGACATGACCGCATTCGATGTTTACATGTAACCATAGAAAACCTCCCCGAGTCCACTGTAGTTGCCATGACAGGTCATTAGGTGGCACTGTGAATTTTGTACATTCACCTAAAGCACATGCATGCTGCCTGGGACAACTGTCGTTAAGGACTTTCCTCTGGGCTTAAAGCCCAGTAACAACAAAACTTAAAGCCGGATTTTGGAGATGAGTCGACGGATTTGATGCCAATAGGGACTGCTTCGTCTAACAGCCCGACACCGGATGATGAGCGAACCAGCACTGACGAAGATTATGTCGGGCTTCCTACCCCAGGGGTAATTAGTAGCCGCTACAGCAGGTAAATCCATGTTCTTGATAATGTTTTGCTTGTGTTTACTTTGGTTACACAACAACCGAGATTTTATTGTTTATTTTTCCTGAGAGGAGAAGCTATCCTCCCACCTGAGGCAGACCGGTTACAAAAGAGAGCATACACCTCAGCATGCAGGAGGAACTTAAAGAGAGAGATGGTGGGTTGGATGTATCAATGTTTGTGTGACATACAGTTTGTGGTGTTGAATAAATAAAACTAAAAATTAAACCCGATGTTTTCATTTTCAACTTTAATAACATGTGATGTGTTTCACATCATAAACCAAGTTTAATCACATAACTTGAATTACATAATGTCCAGACAGCTTCACTTAGCTCAGATAGCTTCCTTACATCTCCCACCACCAACATAAATACTGTTTATTATTGTTACTGTTATTATTTAGCACATTTAGTTTGTTATACTCCAGCACGATGTGTAAAATGTACGGCTGCCTCTATAGGCTCGTTCAATACATAGCGATTTTGAAATTGACCCGGCTGGCATCTCTTCCCAACACAAATGTCGGTCACAGCACCTACATGCTGGCGTAGATTAATTACAAGACCTACTAAGAGAAAATACATTCCATTAGTCGTTGCACAAAAAGCAATTTGTTATTCTCCAATGCGATTGTTGTTGATAGAAATATGCCATTGGTCCACATGTACGCCTGTAGTGTGCATGTGCTTTCACACCTCAGCGAGGGCTTTTGACACCTCAATGGGGGATACCCCGAAAATCTCTACACAGGGTTCAAAAACTTTAGGTTACTGTCGTAACCCCGGTTCTCTGAGTAGCATGCGTGAGTTTCTCACAATGGGAACACCCTCAGTGTGACCTCATCAGAAGCTCCTATTACATTACACCAACCAGGATTGGCTGGAAATAAGCATGTCAGTGTCAAGCAGGGCAGGGCCATCCCCCTATATATAGGGCTGACGCTGCGGCACTGACAGTTTATTCAAAAATGTTCACCTCTTACTCGCAACTTTAGAACAAGGAGGTTGACTTGGTGAGAGACTCACTCATGCTACTCAGAGAACCGGGGTTACGACAGTAACCTAACATTCTCTTTCATAGCATTTGTTTCGTGTCTCACATTGGGAACGAAAATATACTGAATCCTGAATTGCTCAGCAGATTTCATGTTACCTGCCAGCTAATTTCAATTCTCCTGGGCACTTAGTGCTACATTGAATGAGACAGAGATGATAATGTGACATCAAGTCTATAAGGCCGAGTAAACGTGTGAAGAGAAGCCCAACTTGCTGCGGTACAGATCTCCCGAAAGGATCCCCCTTAAGCGAGGCCCATAAAGAGCTTAAGCCTCTAGTAGAATGGGCATGTAGGCCCTCTGGAGACTGCAGTCCTTTTGAAATGTAGCCTAAGGCAATCGTACCCGTGGTCCAGAGGGAAAACCACTGTTTTGTTACCGGTTTTCCAAAATGATTCTTAGTCCAGGAAAAAAATGGTTGGTCACTCTTCCTGACAAGTTTTGTCCTGTCCAAGTAGATGTGCAAGCCACATACTGGGCAGAACTTGTGTAACCTCTCCTGCTCCTTTGAGAAGAAAGGAGGGAGACTGAAAAACCCACTAACTTTTGGAGAGTAGAATCCAACCACTTTAGGCTCAAAAGCACAGTTTGGGAGTCAAATCACCCTAATCTTGTCTAGAGAGAACTTTGTGCAACATGGGTGTATTGATAAAATATTAATTTCGCCTACATGCTTCGTAGACACCAGTGCCAGCAAGAGCACTGTTCTATTTCGTATAGGCTTCGCCCTTTAGGCTATCACTAGTGGGTTTATCCCCTTCGCGTGCAGCACTGAAAACTTTAGTCCGTGCCCACTGGCTGTGTGGGCCCCACCCCCGGTCCGTATAAATTACGGTGAGACTGGGACAATCAGCTCCCATTTTTTCTTCAGCCAGCTAGCACTGCAGAAGGAAGAAGATGTCCAGCACCAGCACCAGCACCATCCGCCTGTGCCCATCCTGCCAGACCGGCTACATCATAAGCTTTGACCAGCACAACATTTGCGAAGGATGCCTGGGTCTCCGCCACACCGACCTCACCACCTCCTGCCGTCACTGTGAGCTCCTCCCGAGGAGAAACAGAGACGAGCAGCCTTGTTCAAGTTAAGTGCTGAGGAGTGTTTTTCTGTGGCGGGCCGCTACTCGCTGGACAATGCCATTGTCTTTTTTAACTCATTTCCACACGGTGAATTGGATGATTCCTCTGAAAAAGGCGATGCTGGCAGCAGCCTTGCCGAGTGTTTTTCTGTGGTGGGACACTACTCGCTGGACGACGCCATCGCCTTTTTTGACGCAGAGTCGCGCAGTGAATTTGATGATCCTCAGAGAAAGGCGATGCGGGTAGCAACCCCGCTGCCCCCTCCCTCCTGGAGAGCATAGTGACAGAAGAAGAGCGGTTGAGCAGATGCTCAGCCACCTCGGGTCTTCCCATGTCGGTGACCACACCGCTCCCAGCCGTCGGCGCCCTCCTCTAGAGCTGCCCGACATAATCCAGGAGGCTGCTGACACAAAGGGACTTTCCGTCCCTCTACTTCCTCCGCCTCAATCGGATGATCTGGCGGGAAGGTTTGGCTCTGCCTCATCTCGTCGCCCTGACCCCATCTGGTCCTGCTTTCCAGCTGTGACGTCATACTGGAACGGAGCTGCAGCTGAGCCAGCAAGCTGAGGGCACCCGTCTCCACCTTTGCCCCATCACTAGAGTGGAGGATTTTACCAAACAGAGTTTTCCCTCAGTTTCCTCCTGGAGCCAAGCTTGGTGGAGGCGTTTGGGGCAAAAGCTTCTAGGATGGATCAGCAACCTGTCCCTCCAGGGAAGCATGACCAGATGGTGACAAAGTTCTCCAACCGAGCTCACCAGTGCTCATTCCAGGTGGCCACGGCGAAAAACAACATCGCCCTGCTGGCCTATAGCATGTCAAAAATGCTGGAGGATGCAGTTTGGTAAATCGCACAAAACACTCATCTGTCACATCAGCTAAAATTATGTTTTTCAGCAGACCGAGTCCGGTAAAATCCCTCGCTTTCAGCCAGAGACGGTTTTATTTTCTGTTGTTTCTGTTCACTCACCGCGCAGCGGGAGTAAATGTGTTTCTCCACAACAGCTGCAGCCTCCATCGAAACAGCGTCTCATTCAAAAAGCGTTCACGCCTCCTCTCAGTGTGCGCCGGCTCACCTCAGCGCTAACATGAGCCCGCAGCCAGAGCTCAGCACAGAGGTGCACATACAGCCCTTTCTGTCAGAGCCCCCCCCC